AGGTTGGACGTGTTGTGCGTTCAGAGATGGTGTTCTGCACACCTTGGTTGTAACGAGTGGTTATTTGAGTTACTGTTGCCGTTCTGTCATCTGGAACCAGTCTGCCCATTGTCCTCTGACCTCTGACATCGACAAGGCATTTTGGTCCACACAAGTGCCGCTCACTTGATATTTTCTCTCTTGGTTTGAACTTCAGCAGGTTGTCTTGACCACGTCTACATGCCTAAATGCATTAAAGTTGCTGCCATGTGATTAGCTGATTAGCCATTTGTGTTAACAAGCAATTGAACAGGTGTACCTAATAAAGTGGCCGGTGAGTATCTGTAAAGGATAGCATTTGATTGAAAGCTGATTCTTTTTCTCTTCTTCTTTCTGAAACACGACTCTTCTTCTTCAGTTGTCTTTTATTATGCAGTATAGTATTTTCTCAATGTAGGGGTTAGACAACTAAGATGGTATTTTTTAGCTTTCTCTTATACCTTGGGAATGATAAATGTTCTCTTAAGCATGATACTCCTAGCATTTAATAATAGTAAAGTAATTTGAGAGAAGTAAAAAAGGGTTAAAATGTGGTGAGATTTCAAACTGTGCAGATTTCAGCACAAATCACAGATTATTATTACATGTTTAAATGTGACATGAACAGTTAATTAGTGACTACCATAATCACAACTACAGTTTAATGTGGACAGTTGTTAGCTCAATTATTGAAAACATTTTCAAAAGCTAGAGAGAGACAGGGACCAAGAAAGGAAGGGGGCCCACAGAGACTGCTTATGTACAGGGTACAGAATTTTGTGCAACACCCGTGTTTATCTGACAATGCTGAGTCAGAGACTTGACATCATGTGTTTTTACAGAATGGATATTTGAATCATTTACTCCGGAAGGATCAAACAGCAGTGAAGAGATAGCTGGTAGACTGCTGATAGTCTCTCTTTATATAAACACCTAATTTTATCCAGCTACCATCACACAATATTTAATTATCATCCTATGTCTGAATTGAGTTAAAATAACATTTTAGAACTTGTAATATCTTCCACAAGCTGCTGCATTGTTTTGTTTTGTTTAATCACCAGTACAACAAATCCAGACTTCATCATCACACTGAAGTTTAACAGTGTGTGACTCCCTCTAGTGGACGTTGTGGAGTATTCTGTTGTCTTTGCTCCAAAGGTTTTTGTACAGAGTTTTGGTGTTTCCTGTCACTGTGGGCCTCACAGCACAGTAGTACACAGCAGAGTCTGTCACTGCAGCAGAGGAGATCTGCAGATCCAGATGGGTTTTATCATCACTCACTTTAACAGACAGTCCAGGGACTGGATCATTTCCTACTGCTCCTGAAGCAGAGTGTGAGATGAGGAACTCTGGTGGTTTTCCTGGATATTGTCGATACCAGAAGAAATAATCACTAGTTAACAGTTTAGAGTATGTGTAGGACAGAGTAACAGAGCTGCCTTCTAAAGTGAACTCTTCATTCCTGACTGCAGTGAGTTCTTCACAGCTGACACCTGAAGGAAGAGATAACTCTGTTATTTCATGTTGTAAAAGACTCAACAAATGAATCCCATCCAGAAAAGTTAGTAATGAAACTTTCTCAGCAGGATCTCACATACCTGTTAGAATGGATAGTAACAGTAGAGAAAGTACATAATAGTCCAATGACAGCATGTTGAATAAAGGGAATGTTTCTGCTTTGTGTATTGAACTCTGCTGAATATGGAAGTTCCTCTCTCTTCTATAGTTCACTAACAGCTTAGCTCCTCCCTCAATCTCTCCGTCTCCTCGCAGCTCTGGATTTTCACTTCTCTCTGTTCCACTTTCTACCTTACCAGTAAATTCTACAGGATGTGAAAGTTTTTGCTTTATTTTCTGTAAATGAGACGTAGGTAACACTTTATTTTAAGGTGCTTGTAATAGGCAGTAATTAACAGTTAATAAGACACTTATAAGACCTTATAGGATGCTTATAAACAACAATATAAGTGTTAATTAAAGCCTAATAAACTATTAATTGATTAATTATTGCTTATAAGACAATTATAGGCCTTTATTAGAGCTATAAGTTATATATACCTCATGAATGCGAGATTGGACATCACATTGTAATTTGCACTCCTAATACAGCTACCCTTTATACTTCAGTACATTTCTTATTTTCTTAGACAACTAAGATGGTTTGTGAAGGTTTTATCTTGTTCCTGTCGACTTTAAATGTGTATTTTATGACGATAAAATGACAGTTAATTTGAATAGAGTCTGGTGGGTTTGGCGATTTCAGGGATGTTTCATGTTAAAACAAAACGGATCTTACTCTTTAACAAAAGCTTGACCTCAGCTGGGATCCTTTCCATAATGTTGTCAGACACTAAGAATAATTATCTGAGCGTGTCAGTGGCAAAACAAGCACGTTATGGATGGAAACTGAAGGTGTGCAGCGGCATATTAATGTTACATTGTAGCTTGTTTCACGCTGCCACTGCAGCCATCTCTTGGACCAATTTCTAATGTCCAGGTTGAGAGAAAACACCCTAAGATATTATTCAAGCTGCTCTAAAAATCCAAGTGCTAATGTTAGCTTACACGACATGCCTTATTTTATATCTGCATACTAATGTTAGCTTAAACTACATGCCTTATTTTATATCTGCGTGCTAAGGCACGTAGTTTAAGCTACTGTTAGCATGCAGCTATAAAATAAGGCATGTAGTTTAAGCTAACTTTAGCATGCAGCTATAAAATAAGGCGTGTAGTTTAAGCTAACTTTAGCATGCAGCTATCAAATAAGGCATGTAGCTTAAGCTAATGTTAGCATGCAGCTATAAAATAAGGCATGTAGTTTAAGCTAACTTTAGCATGCAGCTATAAAATAAGGCATGTAGTTTAAGCTAACTTTAGCATGCAGCTATAAAATAAGGGATGTAGTTTAAGCTAACATTAGCATGCAGCTATAAAATAAGGCATGTAGTTTAAGCTAACATTAGCATGCAGCTATAAAATAAGGCATGTAGTTTAAGCTAACATTAGCATGCAGCTATAAAATAAGGCATGTAGTTTAAGCTAACATTAGCATGCAGCTATAAAATAAGGCATGTAGTTTAAGCTAACTTTAGCATGCAGCTATAAAATAAGGCATGTAGTTTAAGCTAACATTAGCATGCAGATTTAAATAAGGCATGTAGTTTAAGCTAATGTTAGCATGCAGCTATAAAATAAGGCATGTAGTTTAAGCTAATGTTAGCATGCAGCTATAAAATAAGGCATGTAGTTTAAGCTGATAATGTTTATGACAGGTAAATAAACATCAACAAGTTCCTAATAAGGGCCTATAAGTGTCTTATCAATAATAAATGAGTTAATTGTGCTTTAGTTAACACTTATTTGTGTTATAAACATCTTTATAAAGTGTTTGATTATTTTTTAATTGCTGCTTATTAACTGTTAATTACTGCTTATTACAAGCACCTTCAAATAAAGTGTTACCGAGACATATTTATATATACTGGTGTTCTTAATTCTCTGCAATTATGCTTTTCTTTCTTTCTGATTTTCTTTTTTATAAGTCAGCCAAAGTGAAAGCACTTGTGATTAACTTAAAGAAAATAGAGCTCACAGCCGGATGCTGAGTTCATCAGTCAGTTATCGTCTATTCCATAAACCAATCACAATGTATTTGAAGACTCCATATTATTGACATGGTGTCATGGTTTTGGGTTTTGATGTTGTTATTTTCTATTTTATGTTGTATCTCCTGTGTCTTGTCTTACTTTATTTCCTGCCCTTGTGTTTTCCCGCCCGTTTGATTGGCTGCCCTGTCCTAATTAGTTTCACCTGTGTCTACTTAATCTCCCCTCACTTGTGTGTTTAGTCTGTGCGCCTGCCTTGTCTTTGTCTATATGTCAAGCTTTCTAGCCATTTCCCAGTGTTTTCCTGTGTTTTGGGTTTTTGGCCTGATGTATTAGACCGTTTAGATTTGGTTTATTGCTGCTTCCTTTGGATGTGTTTGCTATGTGTCTGCCTGTGTGGACCTTGGCCTGCCTCAGCTTGCTGTAAGTCAGTGTACTCTTTTATTTTGAAAACCATAAAACTGAACCTGCCTCTGGTTCTGGGTCTGGGTCTGGTCCACTCCCTAGTGTTCCTCTTTGCCCAATTGAACTTACTGTGACACAAAGATATTATCTCTGTATGTTCCCTTTGCCTATAGGTTTAAAAATCATGATTGAAAAACCCTCGAGGAAGATCATTCAGAGACATCCCCTCCTAATGAAAGGCTTCCTGCTAAGTGTTGTTAAAATGTTTTATACCTATAAGATATTACAAATATTTCATTGATTCACGTAGAATATAAGTAATTTAAGACTTCATCATCACACTGCAGTTTAACAGTGTGTGACTCCCTCTAGTGGACGTTGTGGAGTATTCTGTTGTCTTTGCTCCAAAGGTTTTTGTACAGAGTTTTGGTGTTTCCTGTCACTGTGGGCTGCAGAGCACAGTAGTACACAGCAGAGTCTGTCACTTTAGCTGAGATGATCTCCAGATTCACACGCTTGTCTGTTTTGTTAATGTGAGCTGAGAAAACTGAACCAGGTGAATGAATTGTTCCTCCCTCTGTGATGGAGAGCAGGAACTCTGGTCTGGATCTCTGGTATTGTTGGTACCACTGGATACTGTTGATGAAACCCTCATATTTACAGGTCAGGTTGATGTTTCCTCCCTCTGCAACATGTTCTTCAGGACTTTCTGGCGTTATGCTGTTCATGGAACCCAGGGCTGCAAAATGAGTCATTCATGTCAGTTAGTCTGCAAGAGATTCTAACATCAAGAGACTCAACAGAGGTTCTTGACTTTCTGGATTCATTCAATAAACCAAATGTCTGTTTCTATCATGGAAGTTGTTCCCTTCCACAGAGAAACCTCTAGTTCTGAAATGTAGACCAAATATCTGGTTAATCCAGCAGGTTAATGAGCCTTTCATCTGTGTTCCAACACTCACCTATGAAGTGAGAGCAAAGTAAAAAGAGGTAAAGCAACATGTCTTTGGAGTTGTTAAAGCCAGACAGACAGCAGATGAGCAATGTTCTTCCACTGCAGTAGAATGAAGAAACTAAACAGCCTCTCTGCTGCACAGCCCTTCTCCTCAACATCAAGCTGATTGTGCTTTTAGTTCCTCAAACATTTCTGCTCTGGAGACGCAAAGAATCTCATTGGTTGAGTTGGACTTCAGTGGGCGGGGCCAGAGAATCCCCTTTTTAGAGATTGGCTGTCTACCAAAGTTCAGTTCAGCCAGTGAGATTATTTGTGCATCCAGAGCAGCTCTGCGTCAGAGAAATGTTTCCTGAATGTCCACTTTCAGTTCTTCACACCACTGTGAGACTGAGGAAGCTGGATTACCTGAAGATTTGGTCTTTACTTGGGAACATGGAGGACATTTTTTACTCTTCTTTGTTACTGTGGAGAAATCGTGATATCAATATTTTATATATTAAATCAGCCCTAGCAGGGATCAGAAGCCATCATGTCTTAGGGTGTACTCACACTATGTGATCCATACTGGGCCCGAGCACGTTTAACCCCCCAAAGTCCAGTTTGGTTGACTAGTTTGAGCACGGTACCCTGACCTGTGCCGGTGCCCCCCTGAAGAGATGGGCTCAGGCAGGGTAAGGTTGGACACAGGACACATCTAATGTGATCGCTAACTGTCCTGGAGCTCTGAACTCAGACATAAACCCCATTGTGCTGTGTGAGAGGGAGCACTTTTATTCAAAACAGTAGTCGTATGTAGTGATGACTTAAACATGCGCAGGCCAGAGAGGGGGGGCGTTTGTACCCCAGGTAAGGGACAAGACAACTGGACCTTGTGTGAACACTCTCTTGATCTCCTACCTTGTCTTCGTTGGATGACTTGTGGTCAGTGACTTGGACCCTTTCCCAGTCAATGCTGTGACTGATTTTTATCTGGTGTTCTCAGACAGTTGATGTCTGTTTCTGCCACAGGTGGCATTTACACTGGGGACACTGGAGACACTGGGGACATGTTCCCATCAGTTTTTGAATTCAAAAAAACATCTGGAAAAATAGCTTGCACGAAGAAATATTAAATAACTAAACACTTTGAGAAAGGTTTATTTGCACAATAAGAAAACATGCAATGCAATTCAAATATAGAAGAAACAAATGTGCTTTGTCCAAAAAGACAAGATTCCTTTAACATGAATAAATACATTTCCACTATAAATTGGTGCAGTAACCAGAATGCAGCTAAATTCCAGCTAAACTGAGGCTTATTGAAGATCTCAATTCAATTCAAATTAGCTTTATTTTCATGAATATGTAACTACAATATTGCCAAAGCATCATACATACAACATAAGAACAATCAACCCCATATATTTCATTAAACAAGTAATTAAAGCGTATGTGTTTGTGTTAAAAAAGATATATATAAAAAATAAAATAAATAAATAAAACAGTAAGCGTGTGTGTGTGTGTGTGTGTGTGTGTGTTAAAAAATAAAAATATATTAAAAATAAATACAATACATAAATACAATTACTAAAATATCAAACGATCAAAATAATAATTTGAAAATCTGTACAATTATTTATCAGTCTGAGGTTCCACTGGTTGTCCTCACTTCATGGCATGAGGAGACATATTTTGCAGCAATTATT